GTTTGTTTGTTGTTTCTTTAATGGTCTCCAACAGCAAGTCACCATTGTTTGTGGAGAATGGTGTGAAGAGGATAAAGGAGAGGTGCACACACACAAAGTGGTGAGGAGGTTGGAAATGACCTGAAAGGAAAAGGACTGGTGTGTGCATAAAGGGATGTGATCTGTGGATGATGAGAAGAAACCTTGCAAAGGGTCAGGATTAGGGAAGCTGATGATCAGGCTGAGCTAAAAGAAGCAAATACTTCTATGATCAGTCTATCTTTGTGATGGAATTTAATTCATTGAGATGTAGCAGCTGAAAAATCACAGAATCACAGAAACACCAAGGTTGGAAAAGATCTACAAGATCACCCAGTCCAACCATCCACCTGTCACCAATGGTTCTCACTAAACCATGTCCCTCAACACAACATCCAAACGTTCCTTGAACACCTCCAGGGTCGGTGACTCCACCACATCCCTGGGCAGCCCATTCCAGTGCCTGACCACTCTTTCAGAAAAATAGTATAAAATTCTTGGATCCTGGGAGAATACCTTGCATGGTTGCTTTTTTTTTTTTTTTTAAGGGGTTCCATGAGATATGGAATTTCTGTGTGTGTGCACTTCAACAAGTGTAGGAAACCTTTGGTGTTGTAGCTTGGAGAATTGCAGTGGATTTTGAAACTAACATGTATGGTTTTTGATTCTGTAATCTAAAGATGAGGTGGCAGTGGATGTGGATGAATGTATGAACACAGGTAAGCACTGTATGTTGCAGCAAAAATGCTTAGCTCTGGTTTTGGTGCATAGGAAAATGTTGAGTTATGGTGTGGGCATGATGGTGGCACCTGTGGAATTGTAAAAACAAAACAAAAACAAAGCCACACAGGCTAGAATGAGATATTTGACTAAAGAGTTGATTCTTTGATCAACCATTCCTAGTTTGCCTGGACTTCTGACCTGTTGCACTTCAAGTAGCCATTGGCCTTTGTGGGATGGGGAGGGAGCATGGTAAGCCAACTCAGGAAAGCTTTGTTGTAGTGTGGAATAATGGCAGCGGGAAAGAGAATGGGGGTTTGTAGGTTGGTGAGTAGAAGAAGCAATAATACGTGCCTGGAGTCCTGCATAACTCATCTGGCTCCTTGTGTTGTAGAGTCATTAATTTTGGAATTGCAGTGAAGAGGGTTAGTGCGTGCTACTTCTCAGCTTCTCAAAACTTTTATTGTTAGAAGAAAAGAAAAAGATGATAGAGTAGAACAAGGATCGGAAGAGGTGCAATACCGCAGGAAAAACATTCAAGGAAGAACTGAAAATAAAATCAACTGGGGCCTTGTACAGATGTACCAAAGATAAATCTCCTGGCAGAGAAGGAAGCTGCAGGGTAGGAATGCAATATTTCAGCAGGGCTGTCATTCCGGGCGGGTATAGCAGAGGCGTTTCCTCGCAGCTCACCTTGGCTCATGTTGCTGGCGGCAATTGCAGAGGAAACTCTTGAGTGTGTCAAAAATAAGAGCGCTCTCACAGATCTGTGCAGGCTCCGTGTCTCTGACTTGTCTTCCTCAAATTCCCACCAGGGAAGACCCCGTAATGTAAGAGAAAATATAGGGGTACGTATGAAAGGATGAGCTGGTGCAATGAAGAGCCTTCCAAAATGAACTGAAAATAGGATCTTTGGGGAAGGGCGGTGAGTCCTAATTGCTACATGTGTATGACCAAAGCAGATGAATGCCACCAGCAGTATTAGTGCAAATCCAGTAGTTCTTGCTGCTTACAGCTGGGGATAATAAACTTCTGACTTCAGACCAGTGAAGGATTGAACTGGAAGGAGTTTGGAAGGAGAGTGATGTTGGTGAGGTTCCCCTGACCTGAATGATGTAGGACTGGGCAACCAGGTCCTTCCTGAGGTATGGATGGATGGTGCAGGCATGATCAGAGCAGAAGGCAGGTGAGGTGCACAGAAAAAGAGGTCAAAATCTCAAGCACAGACTCTGTCCCTCGGCCTTGCAGCCCTCATGGAGACCAAAGTTAACTTACACAGAGTTAAAGCTTCCTGGGTTGTGAGCAACGAGCTGTTTGGTCTCTCTCCAGGTTCCTGGTGGACAAACATACCTTCATCTGATGCTTGGCCTTCTCAATCCAAAGCAATAGCGCAGAGTGCTGGCTATCTTTCTAACAACAGAAGTTGTAGAATGGATGAGCAATAAAAAATGTATTAAATAAACAAATAGCCCCATTTTTCCCCCCATCCTGAAAGATTTTCTTGGAAGGATTTTCTCTCAGCTTTTGTGAGGAGCTGAGAAAACATCCAATTCTGACACCATTGCCTTACGGGACCTCACTCAGCCTAGGTTGCATAAAAGGGCTTTATGGGATTACAAAGGTTCCATGCAGTGGCAGCTCTGAGGCAATGTTTCAGGTGGGGCCACCAGCTCTGCCTGTGCTTCTTTATTACTGATGTGTGGCTTGTTTCTCGCCCATTTGGTTTTTGATGTCTGTTTTCTGTGACGAATGAGGACTGAAGATAGCGTGCGGAGCTGGGTCAGGAAACAGGCTGAGGAGGTGGGAGAAGTGCTCTGCTATTCATTGTGTTGGTGTGGTGTCTCTGTGTTGTTTTCCCAGGCAAGGGTGAAATGGGAGTCTGGAAGTGGAGATGCTGGCCCAATGTTTGTGGCTTATGTGGTGTTGCCTGCGTTATCCTGGTTATCAGAGCTGATGAACTTTTGCCCGAGCCTTTGCACATGGCAGTGAAAATGGCATATTGTCAGCAGCGCCCCATTTAATGTTTCCATTTCCTATTGTTTTCCATCAAAAGCAGGAGCCAGAGCCCTGTCCTCTGGCTTTGTGCAGCAGGATGAATCCTGTTTTCTACCTTCTCCTTGTTCCAGGCTCTTTAGTTATTTGGCTTGACTCTTATTGGGACCCCTCACTGCTGCTCAGAGAGCTGTGGCTGTCCCATCCCTGGAGGTGCCCGAGGCCAAGTTGGCAGCATGATCTGATGGGGGGCAAGTCTGCCCATGGCAGGGGAGCTGAAACTGGATGATCTCTCAGGTTTCTTCCAATCCCAGCCATCATGTGATTGTCTGTAAGAAATCCATGAGTTGAGTATCTCAAAGGCAAATATCGAATGGGAGGGACGTAAAGGGGCTCCAAATAGCTGGTTGCTCTGCAAAACCGTGCCTGTAAGATCAGCTCCTGTATCACTCCCCCTGACTTCTGCATGATACTTGGACTTTGTGCTTTCCAGGACATTTTGCTCACCAGCTCAGTTGGAAGGGTGAAAGAGTGGTAGAAAATGAGTTATGCCGCCTTCTCTTCTCTGTCAGCTGAGGATATCCCTTACACCAACTAGGAAAGCTTGCGGGATTGAACCTTTGGGGGGAAAAGGTATTGATGAGGGCCAGGAATGAATGTCCTGAAGATTTTGTTACAAGTATTTATTACTGCAAAGCTTGGATCGAGCCACCTCTCCCGTAAGCATAAGTGGTTAATGAGGCCACCAGGGCCAGGTGATGTCCTAAGTCCTTGGGCAGCAGTCCACACAGTGCAGAGCAAAAATGTGAGGGTTAATATTTGTCAGTGTCCTTATCTTTCTAGGAACAGATTTTTTGGGGGAAAAAAACCTTTTTTGGGGGAAATGTGGGGGAAATTTGCATAGGTCACTTCTTTGTCGTCTTTCCCACTGATCACTTTGACTCTGCATTTCTTTGGCTTCTATCTTGATTTGTTGTTAAATCAACTCATTAAACGATTAGGAATAATTGTCAGCTGGACCACGTGTTGCTTGGCTGTGGCTCAGGACAGTGCCTGCTGTTTATGGGAGGTTTGGGAATTAAGGCACCATAGGTGCATGCCTCGTGGGATTGCCTTCCTTGCAGGATGCATCTTGTGAATTACAGACGATTCCTCATTGGAAAAGGAACATCAGGCTGCTGTTCTTGAGGGTTTTTAAGTGTTTCCATGGTCACTCAGTGTTTGGTGAAGGTGATGAGTGTGTGCTCTGCTCCCATGCCTGCCGCCTTGTTTCTCCTGATGGGTCTTGGTCTATGCTCGCTGCACATGCCCATCTGCACAGGGCTGCAGTGCATTCCAGCATGTTTTAATTCTGGCTTTAAGCAATTCTTCCTTCCATTTTGGCTGGGGAAATATGCCTTCAGGTTCTTCAGAAACCTTTTTTAGTTATCCCCATTGACTGCATGCACTGGCACCTGGCTGGAATAGGGCAGAGCCAGGGGAGTGGGGTGCAGACAGCCCAGCCAGCGACCCACTGCTGAGCCCAGCAGATGTTCCTGCAGCCTTGCTGCTCCCTGGGGCCGATGCCAGCCTGGTCCTTTTCCAGCAGCTCGTCACTTGACACCGGGAACAGTACGCTGGCTTCTTTTGTTGCACATTTGGAGTCAAGGACCTTGTGCAGGGGAGAAGAGAAGGACGCGTCTTTCTGGATTTCTTCAGGTCACTTTGTAGGTGTTGAGCTCATTCTTCCTTGTTAAAACCTTTTGGCATCGTCGTCTCTCAAAGTGTGTCCTGCTTGCAAGCCTCGGTCCGTGGCTGAATTTTGTGTAGGGATCTCTCCTGTTCTTCTGCTTAGGGTGGAGTGGCTGTACGTGCTCTCTTGGTGTGTCTCTTGGGGTCTGGTGGCACAAGTCACCTTCCCAAGCTGATTCTGGCTCTGCTTGATGCCCTGAAATGACTATTTTCTTTTTTAGAGCACAGGAGAGTAGCTGCAGTGTTCTTGCTCTCTTGCTAGTTTCCTGAATTCATGCACTTATGTACCTTCTGTAATTTTTTCCCTATTTCAGTTTTAAATGAACTGTCCTTTGGCAATTTTGAGTTTGACAGACGTGGCGATTGCCAAGGTCTTTCATCCAAACAAGCTCCGTGGAGAAAATAAATCCAAGTATTGCTTCTTACCTCCCTGTCGTGCACAGACTGCAGAGAGCCTTGCTGTAAAATCTCTTCTGTCCCATTGCATCCCAGTGGGTGCTCAGCTCATCCTCACCCTTTACCCCTCTGTTCTTCTGCAGGCTGACGGGCAACGAACCCCTGACCATCCTCCCTCTGACCTCAGAAATGGAGGAAGCCGCCGTCAAAGCCCACTACAAAGTCTGTGACCGCCTGAAGCTGGAGAAGAAGCAGCGCAGGATGTGCCGGCGGGACCCCGGCGTGGCAGAGACCCTGATGGAGGCCATCAGTATGAGTGCACTGGAGTGCCAGTACCAGTTTCGCTTTGAGCGTTGGAATTGCACCCTGGAGGGCCGCTACCGGGCCAGCTTGCTAAAGAGAGGTGAGTGGGATGGGGGTTTGCTTGGGGCTGCTTGTATCTCCTGTGCTGATGGGCTTCTCTGCCATTTTGCACAGCAGTCATCCTCATGTCATTGGAGTGTGGTCTCCTTAGGGCTCTAAAAAGAGCTTTATAGAATCATACGATGGTTTGAGTTGGAAGGGACCTGAAAGATCATCCAGTTCCAACCCCTCTGCCATGGGACAGGTTCCCTCCCACCTGCTCTGGCTGCCCAGCACCCATCCAACCTGGCCTTGAGCACCTTCAGGGATGAGGCACCCACACCCTCTCTGGGCAGCAGTGCCAGGGCCTCACCACCTTCTAAATAAATAATTTCTTCCTAGCATCTAACCTAAATTTCTCCTTTTAGTTAAAGTTCATTCCTCCTTGTTCTATCACTGTTAAACCATGTAAAATTTCAGTTCCCTTCCTGCTAATAAGCTCCCTTTGCAGTCTGCCCAAACTCAACAAGATTTCCCTAGAGCCTTCTCTTCTCCAAACTGAACAAGCCCAACCTTTGTGGAAGGTAAAAACAAAGCCAGGCTTAGCTCATCTGTGCAGTCTGTGGCTGTGATTGATGTGCTCGTATCAAAGGAACCTCTGCCTGCCTCCCATCACTGGCCACAGCTGCTCTGTGGGGAGGCTGGAGATGTTTGTTCATACATCTGAATCCAGAAGCTCTGCGTGCTCCTCACTTCTGCTGGAAGTCAAGCCATTGGTGTAAAAGAAGAGATTTAAGTTTCCAAAGCTGTGTTGTCTTTTTTTTTAATTATTATCTTTTAAAAACTATTTTATTTTTCCTATTCAAGAAAGAAAGTGGGAAAATGCTTTATCCTTTACCAAAAACAAAGTGGTGGTGGTGGGGTCACGATGCAAGGCAAAAACTCAATGCTTCCATGCCCTGCTCTGCTCTACCTGCGCAGAAGCTCCCTGGCTGTGAGCAGTGAGTGATGCCCACACTGCTTCCAGCTCAGGTGGAGATGACCAGAAGCTGATGAAGAGTATTAGAGGAGCAGGTGGTGTGCTCTGTCTGTTTCCTTTGCACTGCCTTGTGTAGCCCAGGTCTCCTGCAGCCTCTCAGTAAAATTATAGAATGGAATCAGAATAGCTTGAATTGGAAGGAACCTCGAAGATCATCGAGTTCCAGTCCTTCTGCCAAAATACAGTTCTTATTACTGCATCATTAGCTTCAGTCCAGTAGGCCCACTTCACAGGTGGCTTCCCTGGAACTCAAGGGCTTCAGTGACTCCCAGAAAGTCTCACCCTCAGTGACTAGACCTGGAGACCTAGAGTCTGACATGCTCAAAGATGAATTTGGAACTCTGCAGTGCTCCCTCGTTCCTTAAGAAATGGGAAGGAGCCATCCAGAAGCGCTAGGGCTCAACTAATGCACTGTCACCGACTGCGATGGAAACAAGGAGCGTCCTTATGAAACCCAAGAGGTGCAGCCAGAGCTGCAAGACGTTTAAAAATATCTCTGCATGCCAGAGGAGTCCCTGGATTAGTGGCGCCTTGGGAAACTCAAGCACTTTCTCATGCTGACACCTGGAGGCCACAGCTTGCTCCTTCAGATTTGCCCTCAGTGAGGGGAAGGGGTATTCCAGAGCAGCCTGAAATTTTGCTGCTGGAAAACACTGCTGCAAACCATCCCACCCCCTTGTCAGGACCCCATTTAATAAATGGGAGCACTGAGGGCTGCAGAGCTCTGTCTGCTGTCTCATTCTTCCATGCTTTATGTCCCTGCAGCATCTCAGCTCGCCACCGATGCTGTAAATCCTTCAGGTGTTGTTCCCACAGCACAGCTCACAGCCCTGTAAATCTTTCTCCTCCTCTCCAGGAGCTGCTGGTTCCTGGTTCAGCATTGCAATGAGCGATACCCCCAGGGCAAAGGGGTATGGCTATAACCCACTATGACACAGCTATTCCAATATATCAGTGGGGGAATGTTTATTTTCTTCCTCTGGAACTTCGTAGAGAGGGAAAATAAAGAAAAAAAAACCAATATGACCACAAATGTTTCACTTAAGAAAACTTTCTCCCTCCATTGTTCCTCTCGTTCCTCAGCACAGCCCAGCTGCTGGTTTGCAGTTCGGGCTGATGCGGCCCGTTTCTTAAAATAACAGGAGATTGTTCAGGGGACTCGTTATCCTGTTCGGATTCTCGCGAACGATTTTGGAAAGGGCTGAAAGGGGATAGCTGGGGATGGCAGGCTGTCGATGCACCAGAATGCCTGCATTGATTTAAAGCTCATTATCTTGTTACAGCATATCTCGGTGCAATCAAATAGTGCACGGCGGAGATGGCTTTAAATCTGGCCAGAGCCAAATGTCACATGGACTTGCTTGGGAGCTGCCTGAGCTGCCTGTGGGCGAGATGATACCCGCGCTGATGGGCACTGGGCATCTGTGGGCTTTCGGTGATGGAGAAGGGGAGGAGGAGAGCTGAGGCTGATGAGGGGATTGGCAGAGGGAAGCCTGGCTCTGTGTCAAACCCAATATGCAATGTGGTGGCAGGTTGCACGGTCGGCGCTCCCAACTGGGAGGCCTTGGTGCGGATTGTGGATCTGTGTTAGCTGCTAACTCAGGCTGACGCCTGGCTCTTTGCTAATCACAGCAGCTCAGGCTCACAACGCCTGGCTCTTTGCACTGCTCCATCGGGGACTTTCTGTTAGCATGCTAGTAGCTCTCCATTTTGCAGCATAAACAGTAGTAGTAGTGGAAAAAGAGCAGTTCTACAGCTTGCAAACACAAAGGCTTGGTAGCATCACTCTTGAGCATTCCTAGCATCTAGCTGAGAAAAAGTTGAATCAGCAAATAAAAGATGGGAGCTGCGTAGATGGTGTTTTCTTCCCAGAGTTTGGTGGTCCTCAAATCTACAGGTTTTTGCGGTTAGAATTAAATAAAGAATTCCTTAACCGCCCTCATTGAGACAGTTTGTGATGCTGAAGATGTTTTTAGTATGCTGGAGGACATGGTGTAACTTCAAGGGGGAAAGCAAAGGGGAGAAAAAACAAATTTGCTTTCTCAACGCTAACCACTCTTTTCTGTGTCCCCAGCAAGTGTGGAGTCAGTCCTCTTTTATTTCAGTCTTCCTCCCTGAGAGGGAAAGGGTTTCTGCTCTTCTTTTCCGGGTGAACAGTAGGAGGGTTGGACAATTTCTAACGCAATGTGTTTTGAGCCAAAACAGGACCTCTTTCTCCAGGGCTGGATTTTCCTCTTTCTTCTGCTGAAGTTCTGTCCTGTGCATCCAATTGTTCTATGGGAAGGCAGGCTCTGGGGGTAGGCCAGGATAGTGCCCCATGAGCCCACTTGGACTATCATGATCCTCCCAAGGACCAGTTCCAAAAATGACCTGGCAGTGTCTCTGCATGTCCTTGGTTGACATACTAGTTTACAGATATATCCACTACTGTCACCATCCACTTGTGTTATTTTTGAGTGGGGGATTTCTTGAGTTGGATCCAAAGCTGTTCTGGAATTGCATCTCAAATATGCAGTCGTTTACTGCTTCCATAGACGGAGAATGAGGAGCTATAAATACTGGCATGTTTGCTTTTTTATTTCTGTCTTTTATCATTTGTATTGAAATCATGGGTCTCTTTTGGCCTCAGTTTACCCACTGGGGGGAGGCAGATGCTGTTGCAAGTGAGCATGGAGGTATAAGAAAACGGTTGTACATGAAAAGTTTGAGGTCCAAATGCTTCTTCAAGTCTATGAGGTACTGCCTTGGGTGACAGGCTGATTACTAATTGCTTGTGCCTTTTTATAGCAATTTTGTTGGACCTGATTAAATCTTGGTGATTTTTTTTCTGGGAGGAGAGGAAAGCCTTCATGATTTCCACCCCAGTCATCAAACTGGAAATCTGTGCTAGGTTTCTTCCGTTTGGTGGCCCCTTAGTAGCAGTACTGCCACACCATGATGATGACACCACCAAGGCCTGTCCAGACCTTGCTCACCTCTTCCTATTTTCAAGCAGAGACAGCAGAGCGACAACCAAATAACTGAGATTTTGGTGTGGTTTTGTTTATAATCCTGATTTGTGCCACCTCATTTGACCCCCTCTTCTCTGCCCTTATGAGGCCCCTTCTGGAATACTGCATCCAGGCACAGGGCTCCCAGTATAGGAAGGATATACAGGAAGGATATACAGGAAGGATACCGTAGCTGTTGGAGCGGGTCCAGAGGAGGGCTAGGAAGATGCTCAGAGGGCTGGAGAACCTTTGCTATGAGGAAAGATTGAGGGAGTTGGGCTTGTTTAGTTTGAAGACGAAAAGACTCTGGGGAGACCTCAGTGCAGCCTTCCTGAACTCGAAGGGAGCTTATTAGCATGAGGGGAACTGAAATTTTACATGGTTTAATAGTGATAGAAGTGATAGAACAAAGGGGAATGAACTTAAACTAAAAGAGGGGAAATTTAGGTTAGATGCTAAGAAGAAATTCTTTATTTAGAGGGTGGTGAGGCTCTGGCACTGCTGCTGAGAGAGGGTGTGGATGCACCACCCTTTGAGATGTTCAGGTCCAGGTGGGATAGGGCCCTGGGCAGCCTGATCTGGTGGGGGGCAATCAGCCCATAGCAGCAGGGGGCTGGAGGGGAGTTTGTGCCTGGATGAACTTTCAGGTCCCTTCCAACCTTAGCCATTCTATGATCCATCATTCCCTGTTCTCTACCATTTAGAGAATTACGTTGTCTTCTCTACCATCAGTGATACGAGTTGAGCACGGCATTGCTCAAACCTCCTCATGATTTTCAGTTGCCTTAGTTACTTGGTTCTTTTCTTTAAAAAAAAAAAACTCCTTTCTCCTTCCACCAATTATAGCAGCCTCTTTTTTTCCTTCCAGGTTTCAAGGAGACGGCCTTCCTTTATGCCATTTCCTCTGCAGGGCTGACACATGCTATGGCCAAAGCGTGCAGCGCGGGCCGGATGGAGCGCTGCACCTGCGACGAGGCTCCTGACCTGGAGAACCGCGAGGCCTGGCAGTGGGGTGGCTGCGGTGACAACCTGAAATACAGCAACAAGTTCGTCAAGGAGTTCTTGGGGAGGAAGCCCAACAAGGACCTGAGAGCCAGGGTGGATTTCCACAATAACCTCGTGGGCATGAAGGTGAGTCGTTAGATGCAAAATGCGTGGAGCCTTCCTTCTGCTGGAGGTGTGAAGTCGGATTAGGTCTATGCTCTGTTTTCATCACTGTGCTTCAAACGATTGGGGAGATGCCAGAAAGAAAGAAAAGGAGCTTTCCAGGTCTGGAAAACATGAGATGAGGGGAAAGACTGCTGGCTTTCCATAAGGAGAAGTGGGTCTTACAAGGGGATGGCAAGACAGGTCATCTAGACTTGTACAAGTTGTGTTGGGCAGGAGAGGATTTACTCTGCAGCACTGCAGGTGGAGATTGAGAGATGCTTTCCTTGTGCTGCAGATCATGGATAGCATAGCATCTCTGTAGGCAAGTTTCTTTAAAACTTGGTGGACAAGTATTTGGTGGGAAACCAGGGCAGAGCTATTCCTCTCTGACTGATTCCAGTCTTAAAATTCCCTTTGGCCTTCCACCCAGAGATGCTGTGTTTGCAGCTGAGAGAACTCAGGTGTGTAGTCTGTTTTGTTTTGTTTTGTTTCTTTCCTCCTATCCTTATGCTGGAGCATTTCCTGCTCTTTTAACCCATGCTTATCCCCATGAGGCTTTGTCCTGAGTGTTGTAGAGGACAAATTGTGTGCAGGCTCATCCCAACAAGAGATGGGAAAGAAAGGGGCTTTCCACCTTCTCCCATCAATTACTTGGACGTACCTAGCCTAGAGCTGCTTGCACATGAAAATCGCTCAGATTGGCCAGCACAGGTGCCTAGGATCAGTGTTTCATTGCACCGACCTCATAGAGGGACATACTGTAAGGCTATAAATAGCCTTCAAGCCTTGTTATTGTCCGTGTGATTGGATGGAGGGTTGAGGCTGGGATGGGGACCTGGGTCTCCAGTTTCCCAGGCAAACGCTGCCCAGCCAGTTGTGCATTCTAGGAATCACCACCCCAGCTCAGTTGTTCCTGTGCATATGCATTAAATGCCATTCATTGCAATGGAGTTGGGGCACTGGAGAATGCCACTAGTGTGTGCTGGCCAGCAAAAAGTCTCCCCCTGTCCCCACCACCAGATGCTCCCAGACAGCGCTGAGATCAGGGTTAGAAATATCCTGGATTTACTTGGTGTCTGGCTTTGGCTGACAGCTTTTTTGCCTCTGGATTAAGAGGCTCAGTGCCTCTGAACTCCTGTTGCAGCTCTTTGGCGTGTGAAACAGGCTCTGCGGAGTGATGAAATCTGTTTTAATCCTTGTGTTTGATTGTTTCTGAGGGCATATCCTGTAGGACAGACTCTTTGGGCTTGGCTGTGCAGCAACTGGAACAGAGTATGGGGAAGGTGGTCTGTGAGGGCTGTGATTTCACGCTGTAGAGAACTGTGAGATGTCTCTGCTCTACTCCTTTTCCAGATTCACATAATAGAGTCTCATCAGAAACCAGACAAATGTAAGTTTAGGTGCCATGGGAATGCTTTTGTAAATCCACATACATCTCCCCTCCAGCACTGCTGGGACTGATGTACTTTCCCAAGGGGTTTGTCCTAACTCCCATCCCAGTACTGGCAGGCAGGATGCCCACATGGAGTCTAGACCCAGTCTTGGATTTTGGTTAGACATACCTGGTTGTCAGCTCTGCTCTCCACTCTCCATGTGGTTTTAAGCTAAATGAACTCTAAGGATGAGCTGAAGGGAGGGAATCTCCTCATGATGCCTGAGCTTTCTTCCTGATCCCACTGGGATTTAGATCCCAGGACAATGGAAGATGTCAGGGACTCTCTTGCATCGTCTGCATCCACTTTACTTGGCACAGTCAGGCCCTGGTCTTTGGCAGTCGTTTCTAAGCACTAATGTAATATCTGCAGCTAAACAGCTGAGTAACAGTTGTGACGGTTGTCCAGACACTGAGAGCCCTCATGGTGATCCAAGTCAAAGACCTTTGCTGCAGGTCAGTGATCCAGCATTCCTATTTTTGTCCACCCACGCCGTGCTGTCAAGCTGGTATTGCTGTCTGACGGCTTTGCCTTGCCTATTTGCAGTGGCAGTTGAATTGATTTCTGCTTACATTTCTAGGGTAGTTGTACCTTAGTGTGGTTGAGAGACAAGCCAAGCAGCTCACCAGGCTCACAGCTGCATTGAGAAGCAAGGCAGAGAAAGGAATTTCACTTTCAGGAAGAAGCTTTTATGAGCGTGGTGGTTAATGATCAGGAGAACATATGCCTGTGTTGTCAAGATATGTGGATCTAAAGCATTGGCACAACGTGGTGTCATTGAGATGACGATCAGAGATGTTTGGAGTTAGGATGGGAGTTGAGAGTTGTCCAGCATGCAGTACTAGGCTTAATTATTGGCATTTTCCTTCATAAAGACACTGAGTTAAATATGAAACTCAACATCTGTCCTCAGCTCTTCTTTCTCCAATGAAATTGCCTATCAGCTGATTGCATTCTTACAGACTTTCCAACTCTTTCATATCTGGAGATACTAACCTAGTGACTAGAAGGGTCTAAACTACTTTGAAGCAATCTAGTTTGTTTATTTGGGTAATACATCATATTCTTTTGATTTGATGTGAATCCATAGCCACACAGAAGAAGTGTAAATAGCTTTGCTTCGTGTCGTTTTGGAACAGAGTGCCAATTAAATAAGAAAGATGGCCTTCCAGCCTCTAATGTCTTAAGTGTCCCCATGAGAAAGGAAAGGATGATTTCAGGCAGGAGCCTGAGGCACAGAGTGCCTTTTCCCAGGTTATTTAGGAAGCTGATGATGGAGCAGGAGGTAGAGACAAGCTCTTGTGAGTTTCTGCTCTGCACCCACTGTTTTTCCTCAAACAAAACCTCAGATTTTATGTCTGCTCGTGAAACCATACAGACGTGAACTGAAACTTTAGCTGTGCTACAGACTGGGCTTGTGCTGGGCATTGGACAAGGAAACTTTCTTTTCTAATACTTTTCTACAGGGCTTGCAGCTGTGCCTGCCCACGCTGGTGTAGGTACAGTGTATGTATGGGGGTATGTGTGTTTGATGGTGGTAGAGGAATATCTATCAAAGATATAGCACAAGCTTGGTGGTCTCTCAGTGATTCGTAGCAACATATAACCCTTCCCATCTAATTACTCCCAACCATGACAAATTGTATAAATAGTCCCTTGAGACCCAGCAAAAAAAAAGGGACTTGTGCTTAATAAACTTATTTGGCAACAAACACTATTCCCTCCTGGTCGAGACGGCAGTTTCTCCATGGTGTCACACTAGCAAACAATTTGCATCTTTCTGGAAGGGTGACATTATCCTATCCCGCCTAGTTTTAGTGTCTCTTGGTAGAAGTTCTCATTTAATTATTATTTTACTTCTGTTTTTAACAACCTTGATGGGCCAGCCATAATTTTGCCACCACCAATGAAATAATCACTGAACATGTTGTGCCCATGATGGCTTACAAAGTTATATGATATGACCTCAAGTGCTAATGAAAGGGCGAGCTTGTCTAGCGCAAGGATGAGGTAATTAGACCAAGACTTCTCCAGCCTTCTCTTTATTGAAAAGTAGGAGCTCTGAATAGACCACTTATTAAAAAAGCAATTTCCCTTCCTTTGCAAAATCTACTCTCGCTCATTCAGCTATTCTTTCCGAGAGGTCTTGGGTGGAGAGGATGTGTGCTGGGGGGAGTGGAGTGTGTGTGTCAAGGGGATGGGGGTGATGGAGGGGAGAGAAGTCAACTGCATTAAAGCTCTGCTGCCAGCAGTGAAGTTTCTTGGTTATATTAAACGAAGCACAGGAAGCCTTGCTGAGGCTCTCTTCTTCTCTATATCCTCCCCCCTTCCCCCCTTGTACACACAAGTGCAGCCCTCTTTTGTAACCCATTAATGAAAAGTTGGAATATTAGAGCACTCAATTAGTTCCACTGGGCTCGAGTAAGTGATGTTTTAATTAAATTTGCCCAGTTTCTCAGCAAAGTATCATTAAACATGACTTTCCAACTCCCTCTCTGGAGCGTTGCTAAGTTTCTTAATCCCAGGAGTGCTGACCTCTTCCAGAGGTATGTCTGGTCAAGCATGTCTTGCAGATCCAAGGGGCACTATTAAAGGCGGCTGCTATTATCCAAGGGAAAAAAAAATTGTCATGTTCTCATTCCCTTTTTCCTTTATACTTTCAGAAGGAGGGACACAAGCAAGCCTTTGCCCTCAGGACCCTAAAGTCAGGGGTTTAAACAAATTCTTCTTGGGATCTGAGGGTGTTCAGTGCAAAACTGTGTGAGGATGGTAAAGGGGAACAAGAAAATTCTTCCCTTGAAAATCTCACTTTGGGCAATATCTCCCTTTAAAATTGTTTCCCTTCATGAAGCTTCCTTAATCATTTTCACACAATACTGACATGCATGTTTCAGTCTGCATGTTTTGGAAGCATCCTTGTCACCCTTGTTGCTGCAGGGCTCCAGACCTGTCCTGAGACTTGTTACACCTGCATCTCTGAAACCATGTGGGATGTTTTGCAGAGGTTGGTGGGAGGTGCATGGACTTTGCTTTGCTTTTGGCTTGCTTGTTTTGGAAGTCCATGCAAGGAATGGCTTTTCTCCTAAGACAGTGTTGGCAGAGACCTCAAGGGCTGAGCGTGCCTCCTGCTCTGGAGATAGACTCCCTATATCAGGTAGATGTTTGCCCTGCTATCATCTGTCTGAGGAACTTCATGAAGTATCACATAACATGTTATCAGAGAGCACCACCCTCTTCATTGCTGTATCTCCATTTTACAGAGGGGAAACTGAGACCCAGAAAGATTAAGTGACTCACTAAAGGTCACACACAAGTGTAGCTTGGCACCCTCGTCTCCTGTTGCAGAGACAGTGTTTGCAAGCACCTCCAACCCTATCTTGTATGGTTCCCACTGGAAAGCATGACTCCAGTCAACCTCTGGAGTTTGTTGAGCAGGTACTTTCAATTGTAATCTCACAGTTTTCCAGTACCCTCAAAAATAGTGTTATGATTGTTCCTTTTGATGAGGCAAATCCGTCTGAACTTACTAACACAGCAGGGGGGTTGAAA